CCGTTCCAGGTGCAAAATTAACACACTAAATGTGCAACCAGAACGGGCCGTTCTGGTTTCAGAACGGGTCATTCTGGTTCCAGACTGCTAAACATAAACGATCAATGATTATAGTTCACGATTGTGAATCGTGGAAGGAAAAAGACCCAAGGTACAAAGCATTTCAAATACTGAATTTGGTAATATTGTCAATGGAAATTGATAACTTCAATTGCTAAACAGTTAGGCTATACAGTGTAACATTAAGGACAATGCAGTGTATTACTAAAGACAATGATAGCAGATTTTACTTCATTTTAAACTGGAGTGAACCACTTACTACCAAATTGACACTATGCAGTAAAGGATGAAATGATATGATATTTTTCCTTGAAGTCATTAACGATGTACCCCAACAACAACAACCTATTCTTGAAGAGGTAGAACCTGAAGTAAAGGAAGATGATACACATGACTAACATTTCACCACACAACCACATGCAGGGACAGATCTAAGTTAATCATAGTGGGGACACTAAAATGTTTTTCATTCTTTTTTTTATATATAAAATATTAATAATTTTATAAAATATATATTATTAATTATATTTTAATTATGTTGTTATATCTAATATAATAAATATATTAATTTTTTTTATTTTTTATTTTATTATTTAATTATTTTTTATTTTGTGGTAAAATTATCTTCATTTTTAATGAAGAAAAAATTTACTTACTTCAAGAGTAAGTCTTGATAGATTTATTCTACTTAATAATTAATGTTCTATATCAAATTTTTAAAAATTTAATTGTTAAATTAAAAAGCTTTTCATGTATAGATCAAATTTATAAAAAATTTTAAAAAATTAAAAATCATATGATACTTCGTTAAATTAATTCAAATTAACATATAAAATATTTTTGTTTTAAATGAATGTAAAAATTTAGAGGACACTAAAAGAAAATAAATTAATAATTTTATTATGTTTATCCTATTAATTTTTATCATTTTATTCCTCTAATTTTAAATAAGTTGCAAAAAATTATAAAGTGACACTTAAATATTTCTTCAGACAGAAAGAGAAATAGGAAAAGTTATTACTCTATTTATAAGAATTATATTTTATAAAAATAAGTAATTTTAAAATTTTTACCATAAAAAAATATTTTTTAAAATTATTATATTTTTTAATAAAATTAATAAAGAATACTTTATTGTCTTCATTGAGTTCTGGAACGGACAGTTCTGGTTTCAGAACGGATCGTTCTGGTTTCAGAACGAATCGTTCTGATGTACTGGTGGTGTGTTAATTTTGTATCTGGAACGGTATGTTTCAGATGCAAAATTAACACACCAAGAGTGCACCCAGAACGGGCCGTTCTGATTTCATAACGGGTCGTTCTGGTTCCAGGTGTTTTAAAAAAATTGGCATCCACGTAGCATCCACCTATGCATCTACGTGGCAGTTAACTCTGTTTAAATAATTTGAACGGAAATCTCAAATTGAAACCAATTAACTTATTTGGGACCAAATTGAGATAAAAAATAAAAGTGAGACTAAATTGAAACAAATAATTATTATAAGGGCCAAAATAAGTTTTTAAGCCTTCATTTTATAATTAGTAATTATAGATAAGAGGGAGTACCGAAAATTAACTTAACAATTAAAACAAGCACGGGTGCTACCAACCTCCCTCTACAATAACTAGATAAATTCTGCAAATAATGTGGAAAATTTATGTGGTTAGTACGAAGCATTATTATTATGTTACGTGTTGTATTGTATCATACCATATGTGAATAAATAGATTGAGGAAATCCCACCAGCCACCATTTGCTTTGTTGAAGAAGTTGTCCTGTGATCCTGTCATCCAGATTTCCACTGTACAACCCAACCAATAACCATTAACCATCTCTCGACATTATTATTTCGGTTTTCATAAATAATACTATTTTTTATTTTAAGTAAAAAAAATCTAATTTTACATATATATTAAAAAAAATAAAATTCCTCCAAAACTCACCGACCCAAGAATGCTTTCAAGATATAAAATAATTTGATAATTATTTATTAATGATTTAATAAAATAAAATATTAAATAATTTTTAAATTTTTAAAAAATTTATAAATTTAATCTATACATTAAAACCATGAATTATTGAATAAAATAAGTTTAGATAAAGTTACTCACAGATCTTATATATATATATATACGAATTATAAAAGTCAATTAAACTAATTTATGATATTATATAAAATATTTTTTATCCTTATTATAAGGTACATGTAACAGAATTATATTAATATAATTAGTTATTTTTTAATTTGATTTGTTAATTTGATAAAAAATAATTATGATATAACAATTTTATTTTTATTATTTATCATTATATTATTATAAAATATTTAAAGATATTATTTTATATTAAAATTTATACACTAATACTAATAAAATTAATAAATAGTAATTGGAGAGTTCAAAATGTTGGAGAGAAAATATTTATTTATAAAATTATCTTCAAATTATTCATCAATAAGAAATATATATACACACAATCTTTAATAGTGAAAAATAAAATAAAAATAATGATTTATATGAACTATAAAATATCTTATAAAAAGGATTATCATTTGATTCTAAATTATGTCTTATTTTGAGAACCGGAGGAGTATATAACTTTATAAGTATTTATTTTATCCGTAAGTTTGAAATATTTTTTTATCCTTTATTTTAATTTTTTTTAAATGAAAAAGGTTTATTTTTATATTTTTATTTAAAAAAATTTACGTAAAGATTTAAATTAAGCAAATAACTAATCATTAAACATTCACAATAACATTAAAGATAAAATTGTTATTTAATTAACATTATTAATTTTTGTATATTTATTTTTTAATATATTATCAAAAGGTAATGACTTTTATTTTCTTTATGTATTTTTATTTAAAGAATGTATCCTTATACAAAAATTTAAGTTAACAAATGACTAGTTATTAAACTCTCTTATTTAAATAACATTAAAAATAAAATTTTTATTTAATTAATACTATCAATAACTATTTTTCATTTTTCATTTTCATAAGAAGATAGTTTTTATTTTACTCCATGTACAAAAATTTATGATAGCAAATGATTACTCTATAACTTTTATGGTTTAAATGATATTAAGGGGAGAATTATTACTCCATTAATATCACAAATCATTGTACGAGTTAAAGGTATTTTTCTTTCTCTTTATATATTTTATTTAAAATAAAAATAAATAACACAAAAAGAACAAATAAAAAAATCATTTTCTTATATTTTCGGCTAATATTTTTAGATCTACTATCTTAACATACGTATTAATTATCCTAATTGGTTTTTAAAACTTTAGTTTTTAATAGTATTATTCCTATTTAGCTTTACTATGCATAGGCTTTTGTAGTGATTAAAAACAAATTTATACCCATAGGTATTCGTAGATAAAATTTACAACAAGTATAAAATGAATATTATAATTAGGTATCTACAGGTAACGGATATAAATATTTTTTATACCTGCATATTAACGAAGAGGGTACAAGTATCATAGTATTTATACATACAAGCAAAATATATTGCTCTTACAAAATGGGTGAAGAAAGCTCTATAATTAGAAAGGATGATTGGCGAATTGGATATTGCACAAAAGTGTGTGACAATTCATTGTAATAGCCAAAGTATTTTTGAATAAAGAAATTCAAATTAAGAATATTGTTTATGACAAAAATTAATCTTATTAACATGTTCATAAATCTCTATTTCCATCAAAGTTCAAACACATTGTTTGGTCTTGATCAATTTCATTTAAAGACAGAATAATATTCTAGTAAAAAAATCTTTCCTTCAAATTTAAAGTCAAGTTGGAGAATTTTTGTTTGACTCAAAATTTGTGGATCATCTATATGTTGGACCGCTCGTGCATAGTCTTATAGGTATGTTCTATTTAGTATATCTTCAATATTTGATATGTGTTTAGTTTGTTTAGTCTTATAAGGCTTTGGTTTTAGTGTCTTATTTATATAGAGAGGGGTTATAATTATACCGGTGTAATTTTTACTAAGTATTACATCGTTCAATAACTTTATATTAATTGTGAATTTTGTAAATTCAACCGTTAGATTGAAAATTCATATCACTTTATACGTGTATATCAAATTTTATTAAAATTGAACAACTTGAAAGGAATCAAAGTGTTCATATTTTATTATATTTTGAAATGAATATATTACGTCACTTTTGTTTTATAAAAATGAAGTATCAAAACATCTTGGATTAATATAAAATTTTGTATATATGATCTAAGAGATATAAACTTTCAATCTAACGGTTAGATTTATAAATAAAATTCACATTTAATATAAAGTTATTGAGCAGTTTAATACTTAGTAAAAATTACACCGGTAAAATTATAAGCCTCTTGTATATATATCCTACTATCTAAGTATGAAAAAGAGAGAGTGAGAGAACGGAAGTGCAAAGGACATAAATAGAAATACCCAGAAAGAAAGGGAAACTAATTAGAAAGATCAAAAGGTTGCAAATAAAAATAACAGGTTGTTATATTGTACATCTGGTCTTGTTTTACGTGCAGTCAAAGTGGTTCTCTTCCATGAACATAGATCACATCGACTAAATCACATAAATATTGTTAACTTCTTCTCTTAATCTTTTTCATTTTCTGTTTCATTTTTCTGCATAATTACATTTTGTGTTTTATGTTTTGATCGAGTGTTGTTTTTGTATTTATTAGATTGTTCTTGTACGTATAAGGTCCACTTCTTGTGACTTCCCGTTCAAGACGAACAAAATGATTTTACTTTTATGGATTGGTTAGGAAGAGGTGAAAACGCAGGTCTTTTTGCATTAATAAAATATTTCTTTTCTTCCTCTCGGGCCATTCGTTAATTTTATTTTTTATGATAATATAAAAGGAAATATTTTATATGCATTGACTAAATGAATATAAAAGGAAATCTTTAAAATAACAAAAGCAGTGAGGAATGAAGGTGGCTAGCTTGCTTTGGGCTATGAATCACTTGTCAATATGATCATATGAACATACAAGAAACATTTGAAATGTAACACAGCGACATCAAAGAATACAACCACACAGATGGCCACTGTGATGCGCAATACTCCAAAAGAAAGGAGAGAGAACTTGGGAAAAATACTTTAGCGGAGGATTATCTAGTGTGTGAAAGTGGACACTGGCCTTAGGCCATGTTTGAGTGCAGCTTCCCACACAAGATCGATTCTGTTGACATCTATGGCCCCAACTTCGTGATGAGACCAACCTTCAAGGCTGTGTACCACTCCTCCTGCATGGCACGCATGAACTACTCCCCTATCCATCGTGTACTGCATGTATATATTGTATAAGACAAATATTATGTAATTGCCGAATGATGATACAATTAATTAATTAAAGAAAATGAAAGAGACAGATATTGGTGAAGTTGATATATCACCTCACAACAGCCAAGGCCCTCCACGTCTTCTGGTAATCTCATGGCAGCTAGATCACCATAAGTGCAATCTCTTCTGATTGATAAAATGGGTGGGACAACAAATTGATGGAAATGGGTTCCACGTGGTGCCCAGTATTGCTCTCTTGGCGTGATCCACTTGCCAACAATCCAGCTCTGAATTAAGACAACCAAGCACGAGCCAAATTACTATAAAATTTATTATACATAATAAATTCCCACTTAAATATGTCATAATTCAATTTCCAAACTTGTGTACCAAAAATAGTAATCCAAAAGTGTGACAATTGTAAATCATGACATAGTTGTACCTTGCAGTTTTGTGCTGCTTGGTATTTTGTCACTTGGACAAGATAGCTTTGATACTCAAGAGGGGCTTCCTTTTGAATCCTCTGAAATCTATCTGTTGAAAGAGTTAACATCTGCAAAGTAGCTCTTAGCCCATTAGTAACTGTGATTAAATAAACCAAAGAATCATGACACTTAATCATCATTATATCTAACTACAAATGATGTCAAGTGTCTTGGTCTTGCTTTCAAAGAAAGTACATGCTCTAAGTGAAATGAAAAAATAAATTCCACCACTTTGAACCTATTAACTATATCAGTTTAATTTCATTCTTAGCCAATTAGTAACTGTTATTAAATAAACCAAAGAATCATGACACTTCTGCCCCTCTTTATATTGTATACTAGCACCACCGTGACTACTCCCTAGTCCCAAATTCAACTCAAGCACTTGAAAGAAAAATTATCATTATTAATAATTTTTTAGGTTCTTGATATGGTATCAATAGGCACCACAATGATTAAACTTCCCTCGAGACTTTTAATAGCTATGCGACAATATGTGCATAGCTTCTTAGCCAATAGCCATTAATAGTTTAATTCGATTAAACTTTTAAGGCAAGAAAAGGTACGTAGGAAAAGAAACCAAAGTAGAATGCAACTATGCAAGGGAAACGGTGAAAAATGGGGACTGTGAGAAAAATTACCAGAACTTTGACTTTCTTTTGGCAAAGGTAGAGAGCAATTGCTCTTCCAAGCTTGGAAGTAGCTCCTGTTAGGAACACCTCTTTCACATCTTGAGGGATCTCATTGAGTATGACAGCTGCAGTTAACGTGTTCCCATGAACAACTCGAACCCTCAGGTTTGGGTGCTTGTCCACAAAAAGCTTTCCACCCCCGTTTAGAGATTCATTCTGCATTGAGTGAGTAATAACATTCGGAATTAATGCAATTAGTGCCGATCATCCATAATATTTTTTTATCAATATATTATTATTTTTAAAATTAAAATCTCACATCAAAAAGAATTTCATATAATGAGTATATTTTTTTAATTTCTAATTTTTTTAAAATCGGTGTTTCATATCAAATAAATAAATAATACATAAAAACATACATATAATTATATAATAATTTTTAATATAAATGAATTTTAATATTTGACCTAAATTTGATGGTGACTAAAAATCATTATTAAAATTTAAAAAAATATTATTTTAGTAAAATTAGACAAAATTATTTAATTATGTAAAAATATTATTAAAATTTCTTAATTATATAATATTATATAACATTTGATAATATGTCACAAAAATAATTTAATAACATTTATATATAATTAGATAATATTGTGAAGAAAAAAATGCTAAACAAACCCTTTATTTATTACTGAGCTGAGTGTATGACAATATCATTGATCTGGCATGTATTGGTCGTCTAAAGTACTAATGCATTATTAGATAGTCTATTACTTTTATTCTGCAACGCGCCGTGGACTAGCTAGGTAGCGCACTGAGGTAGTTAACATCCCAGGAAAGCTAGAAACTAAAAAGTAGATTATGCCTAAGAAACTTAAAACCTGCCTTGCAGATTAAAATCCTTTGGAAAAGAATTATTCTTATTGTTATTTTCATTTCATGTATATCTAGACTAAAAATGGGAGGCCATTGTAATTTGTTTCATGAGTTACAGAGTGACTCACCATTCCTATGCAGTAATTAATTATGATGTACTATACTACCTTACAAGGCTATAAAACCATCACCAACTATTGCTCAGATAAGGCCAGATTCAATTAATTAACCACGTTCTTTTTATTATGCTTGTCAAATAAATAGCAAGAGAAACAGTGAATGCGTCAGACCTTATTCAATGCAGCAAGGCTAATGACTTTAACCCCAATTTTATCAGCCCTGAGGATAGCTAGCTCAATTTGCTTATTGATTCCCTCAGTAGCAAATGGCAAGAAATACTGTAAAAATTTCGAAAAAGAAGAAAAATAAATCAATACTTGTTAACTACTGTTCTTTTTAGTAAAAAAAAAAAAAAATGGAAGCAAATTTATGACCGATGAATGTACCATGGACCTACCTGAAAGCCACATCTAGGTACAACCCACGTTTGGTGCAGTCTACTTCTGAGGAAGTAGAAACTAAATAAGAAGGTCTTGGACCAAACCCACATTGCTAGTAAAATTAGAAAAGCAACGGGCAAACATGGGACCAAGAAGAGCCTCGTTGTGTATGGCAATGAAGCAAAGGATCGCAGGACGAATTGAGCATGAATAGAAGATGACACATCTACTATATGTGCCAGGAAAACAAAATGTGGGACCGTGTCACCGTTTCCTGTAATGATGCAAAATTATGGTAGATATGATGAATATCAGCATTTCCTCAAAAAATAAGAAAGATTAACTAATGGCAAAATATTACATCAAATCAAACACGGAACAGCTTTTGTGAAGGGCTATTCGTGATGTTGAGTACCCATCAAGCATATTGAAGTCAAAATGAAAAAAAAAAAAATGGATGAAGTCAATAAATGATTAGATAGCTTACCGGAACCTGAACTTAATATTTTGTGTGATTGCCATGATTTTTGGTTGAGGGTATTGCCTAGTGCGTCAAAGAGAGGCATAAAGAGGCAGAAATTAGTGTCCTTATCAGAATGGTGTAGGTTGTGATATCTGCATCATAGTATAGAAAGCGAGTGAATAATACACACAACTGCACAAGAAATGAACGTGAATACGAGAAGCTTGGGAATCACATTTGAACACATAGCTGGACCACTATATGGAAAATTCATGTTCATTTCTTATGTCATTCTCTTAATAGTCTCCAACTTGTTGCCCAAAACTTGTTGTAGTTCAATTCTCGTGGACCACTAGTTTACTTGAATTTCTCTCTTCACAAGAGATAACCTCAGGTAACTTTGAAACCACTTATGTGAGTTCTAGGCCAATGTTCCCATCCCTCCTCTCGTAGTGATATATATGTTTGTATGGAGAAGGAGGGAGAGAGATAGAAGCATTTAGAATAATTTTTTAGGTAATCACTGATGTTGCTTGAAAGTTTTATTAAAATAGGAAGGATTTTCATGTAATTATATAAAATCAAAGTTTCTCTAATTGAAATGAATTCGGAAGGAGTTTAAACATCGAAACAAAAGGAAGAAAATCATTTCCACAGGAAAAAGAATGTCAGTTATCCCCTCAGTTTCTATCCAACTCATTTTTTCTTTAATTGTTTCTTTCTCTATACCAACATTTAAATATGCCATAAAGAACCTAAAGTGCCACAGCTATTCAGGTACGGTTTTGCATTTAGTTCATGCTGTAAATACTTTTCACATGTCTTGCTAAAAATCTGACAGAAATCAATGCGAGCTTTCTCATGTCAAGTCTGACAATTAAATATATGATGCCAGTAACTTGTATTTGAAACTTAAGGATGCAACATTTCTAAATTGACTTACGTTGGTGTGTATATCACATATCTAAGAAATGGGAATTTCTGGAACAACTGATGGGGAACAATTTCAACATTGCAGTGGCCCAAGCATCTGAGGAAATCAAAAATCAAAACATAAGCATACACCAAGCTTGCTGATCCATATCCCATCAAAGAAGCCCCAAGGATAGGGATTCCAATGACTAGCGTCAAAATAAGATGCTCCAAAAGTGTTGCATGTCCAGCTGTAGGAAAATAAGTCATATTTCAATCACCAATACAAGATCCAGAACAAGTAGTTTGAAATGAATATAACATTAATTTTGAAGTTTGAACAGAATAAACATCTTTGCAACTAGTCTTCCTTTAGAACAAACATAATATGAGAGGAGGATTAAAATGAAGAAGGGTAAATATGATTGATTCTCACCAGTAAAAGACTCTGGTATGGGAGATGAATGATGAAGTGAATGATAATGGGTGAAAAGGTAATCTCCATGGAACTTCCTATGCACCCAATAATAAAGTGGCTCTGAGATTCCCACATGGAGAATCAGTGCAACAATAAGACCTTTTGCATTCCAGAGAGGAAGATGCTGAAGAAAGGGAAACATATAGCAGGCCATGGAGGCTACTAGTGTTTGAAGAATCAAGAAATTGTCCCTGTTTGAAAAACCGATATTAGATCATCTCATACATGTATGTATGAAACCATTTTTATAAATTATTTTATCTAAAGATGGAAGAGAGAAAGAAATGTTTACCAGTCCCATTCTTTGTCAATCTGGTTGAAATCAACACCCTGTTGAAGAATCCGTCGATTTCTAGTGAGAAAAAACATGTGGCTATAAGAAGCCCAAAGCACGTGAATTAGACCTCTGAGAGCACTTAGTGTGAGCAAATGAAGGCACCAGCTGAGGTTGTAGTACGAGTGTTCTTCATTATACAACCATTCATACACAACTTTGGCCATAAACGGTCCATATAATACATACTGTTCATCAAGATCACACACACACATAACCCATGTGAGTTCTTTAACAAAGAAATAAGCACCAACACAGACATCACATAAGAAGATTTTGTGTACCTTGTATATTCCAAAGTTCTCCCATGGCCATGCTGATAGAGGAGCCCCCATTCCTACGGCACTATACTTCAATTGAGACACTAAAAAATCCTTTATTCTATATATCTGTTGCACCTTTTCCCTTATGAATGTAAATGCTCCACACTATATTGCCTTTTCTCTTGGCACCAATACTTGTTTTTGTATTTACTAAAAGAGAATAGAGTCCCAGTACCGAAAAAGAATATGAGAAATTAAGGAGGAACAAGCAATATGGGAGGAGAGGTCCAATATGTGACCAAACTCAAATTGTTCCTTAGTTTTCCTTTCCTAATTGCTAAATGCTAACTCTGTCTGAGAGTTTGAGCCACAACTTGGAAGTTTATTCTTTCGTCCGATAACGTATATTTATAAGCGCGGTAGATCATGCATTATTTCATAAACATTAAGCCTTCAAGCTTCACAGTCTCCCACCTGTCATCTTCTAACTGCGATATACAATTATTATTACTTAACTAGTACTATATACAGGGACGGGGCAATTGTGCCGACTATAATTTTTCTCTCATTATTATGTAGTATAGATTATATTATATTACATTTTAATTATCTTTAATATATTTAATATATTAGTATTTTATTCACACCTTATTCTTTAAGTAATTTTCCTCACCAATAAAATTGTCTATAATTTTTTATTAATATATTATGCTATAGATTTTAGATTAAAAAAATATATTTATTGTACACTGATGTTATAATTTAATTTATTAAAATATCCTGTTTTTCAATTCTTTTATTTTTGAACCCTTTTATCTTGTATGGTTGTATAATATGTGTTGGGGTAGGGGGTAATTTATTCCAAAATAATAGGTACTATCTCTATAAAAAAAAAAACATATATACAGACAAAATATATATATATATATATATATATATATATATTATGAATGTAAAAAATTAGAAGAGATAAGATAGAAAATAAATTAATACTAATTTTATTCTTTAAATTTTTTTCTATTTCTTTTTTTTTTAAATATTAAATAAATCGCACAAAATCATAAATTTATACTTTAATATAATCTAAAATAAAGACAAGAAAAATAAAAATTGTCACTTTATTCATGAGATAATTATAATTTATAAAGAAAATGGATACTTTAGGTTTTTTTATGATAAAATTATGTATTTGATAAAAAAAAATATTATATTTTTTTTATAAATACTATAAAATATTTTATTACCTCCACTAAACATATTTTCTGAATTCACCACTGACTGTATATATAAAAATTTATTTGTTTGTGTATTTGATAGTAAATATAATGGGATAATTTTATGCGTTCAAACAATATAAATCGCAAATCAAAATCCAAAACAATAATTTTTTCTAAAGGATACATTGACTCAAATTTGAGAACCATTTATCAAAAATAAAGGATTAACACAAATTTTAGTAAAAAGATGAGAATTAAAAAACTTATTTTACTCATTAAATATTTATATAGAAATATTTTATAGTTATTGACTATGCATTGCCTGTTACACTCTTAATTAATTGGAAATTGCTGTTAGTATAACTTGTAAGTTATCATTCCTTAGATCCATCACTTTCTCTCTCAATTTTTTTCCTATTTATATTTTATTATCTACGCCATCTTGGAATGTATGATCATCTCACCTTGATTCACCCATTCATTTTATTTCATATCATATCTTTATCATATAATTGTATAAGTATTTACGGGGATTATCAGATACATTTTGTGTAAGATATTACGCATTACATGATGTTTTTAAAATAAAAATAAAAAAGGGACGTGGATTATTATTATGCTTTATTACGTTGTAATTATAATTAGAACCTTTGAGAAGATGCGACAGCAGATCTGGGAAAGCAGTAAATGCCCTTGTATGGTTGGCAGATGATAAAGTAGGTTTGGAGTTGCATGAATATATTTTCATTATGAGGGCATTATAAATAAATAATACTATATTAGTTTATTTCATTTAAAATATAATCTATTAGTTTACGTCTTTGACTTTTTTAAAATATTCTTTATTTATTTACTTTAAAATAAATTCATATTAAAAGGGTCATTATTGTGCTATCTTAATGTAATAAAACCAAAAATACGTGTAAAAATTTAATTTGAGTAATCTAATATAGATTGAATATCCATTTCTTTAAAAATAGAAGAACTTTCCATTGTAATTTTCATGTGACGTAGTTACACATTATTTTTTTCATTTCACAACACGTGTTTTATAAGCTTTATATCAAATTAAATTATTTTTCTGTTTAAATAATTATCCAATCAAAGAATTCATTTTAATTATATCTTATTTTAAATAATGCCTACATTTTTATCAAAATAAGGTAGTAAATATTAAAATCATATATATTTTTAATAATTAAACTATTTTTTTAGAATTTTAAATTAAACAACGTGATTTATATTTTTTTTATTGGATTTGGATCCTCTAAATTGAAAAGATTTAAAAAATAGATCATACTTTTGATTAAAATTTCAAGGTGAATGTTATAATAAATTATAGATTTTATTATGATTATTCAGCATTATATCTAACGGTTGAGCATCATATTTAGGGTTTAGTATGAATGATTTCCTTGCGATTTTACCAATCATAGATATATAATGCTTTTAACAGGAGTTTGAACTTCAAGTAAGTTCAAAAATAACGTCTATTAAATCTTTTTCTTTTTAGTGTTTAGAGGAACTAAATCCTTTTTTATTACTAGCAAAAGAGTCTCTTGTTAAATATTATACAAATTTATATTTTTTTTTTTAAGTTTTACATGTATGTTTGTTGGGAATTTCATAAATTTATGAGTTCTTTTTACTTGAACTAGTACATAATTTTTTAATTTAGGTATGTATAATTAAGCCTTTTAAGAACGGAGATGAAAATAAGATAGAGCGATTTACAGGTGCCTATTTCTAGATATTCATCAATGGTTATCAAATAATAACTTTCATGCACGTAGACGTTCAAATAGACTGAGTGAATGATATATATATATATAATGACAATACAAATCATTATTTAATTCACATAATTGTCAGGTTATAATATACAATGATCATAAGAAAACAATAAACTATGAAATTAAGCTATACTAAACTAAAATAGTCCTAAGAAAAGAAGAAAAAGGTGGCCAAGAAGTCATACCCAACAATCCTATGCACGGAAGTCATATGCGCAGATAGTGAGTGCTTGTGAAAGTGCAAATATGATTTTACCGGCCTCGTGTATGAGATTGCTTCTCCTATTTATAGGGATAATCGGAGGCAATTATTCACATAAAAGCTTGTCATGGGGTGTATAACCGCTCTCCACTACGTGATTTGTGTAACTTTTCATAATCGCTCATCCAATGTCTTCTCATTCGACTCTCGAAACAACTCCTTCATGAACGGTTAATGCTCATCTATTTGGTAACTATCATGATGATTTGTCGCAACTTCTTATCTGTCTATAACTGTTAATAATCTCTCCCCTTATCCTCAGTTTGTATTGTCTCTTTTTTTCTCCTAATATATAATATTATAATTGTTGAGTTTCAATAACTATTATAAAAATTATAGTAAAATCATATGAATAATTATCATATTTTTTATTAGTTGATTGTAGTGAATAAATAAAATAAGCAAGTTTAAAAACTTAATTTATAAATAGATGAGTGGAAGAAATGAATATGGGTTGGGAAATGGTACCTGACAATGTTGGAAGCAGGAAAAGATGATGGTCCAAGTTGTGAGCTGAGTTAGGCAACAATGAAGTAAGACGGTAGTTATTATGGGTCATGTCTGCCTATGGACGTACGTGGGGGTTGTGGCACTTACACCACAACAACAACAACCGTCTAATAATGAACTTATGCCTCTTGCCCACGCGCCTCAACTACACGGATCATTACATTATGCACTTTTTACACCCTCTTTATTTTATATGTTTCTTATTTATTTTAAATTTAAACATATTACTTATAATTTTTTAATCATTGTCATTAATTTCTACGTAAGATTATTTTCATGTGAGTGACATAAATTTAATAAATCTACGCAGTAATGGTGTACTTATTTTTGTGGACGATGAGACCACTTAATTAATGATTTGAGAGAAAAAAATGAATATTATAGATGATTTTGTGAGCAATCAATATTTATTATTATTGAAATATAATTGAAATAAGTGATTAAATTGATGATTGCAAATAAATTATTAAAAGAATTTTACCGTCTAAAAAATGAATATATTACCATCATGTGAGTTTAATTCACATAAAAAAATGATAGGAACTTTAAGGACTAAAAAAAATTATTTTAAACTCCAAGGACTAAAAAATAAAGTATATGAATGGTTGATAGGAACTAAGAAAATATTTTAACATTTATTTTAAAACTCTGCATTTAATATTTTCAAACTTCAAAATAGTTAATCACGTATTAAAAGAGTAATCCAATTGATTATGAGAGTTCTACTGTTGTCCACCCTTCTATATGGACCACTATTACTAACCGAACATAATAGGTTTTGCATTATTTTTTATAAGTTATTTTTTAGTTTAAATATTTTTTTAAAATTTTTACAATTTCATGAATCTTACTTTTTAGTTCTTGTACTCTTTGAAGTTACAAATCGATCACCTTCAGATTGACTCTCTCGAATATATTACTTTTAAATCAACCTCTCCATGTCAACTTTCTCGGAATCTATGGTGGATGTAGGTTAGTGAATATAGGGATAATTGTCCCCACAACATTTTTTAATACTTAGATTATATTTAATAAAAAAAATTGTCTCAAAATAAAAGGTGCTGTTATCATAATATTTTTTAAATAGACAAAAAAAACTAGTAAATAAAAAAAGAATAAATTAGTGTTAATTTTACTATTTTCTAATTAAATGTTATACTCTCATTATTAAATGCACATTAAAAATGACCCAATGACATAAATACACAAAAACACTCTTTAATTTGATTTCTTGTCATGAAATTATGTATTTTGTAAAATCTTATAGTACTTTTCTTCTATGAAAATATTAAAGCTTATGTATTTGTCCACTAATTTTTTTTTTTTTTGGATCCACTACTACTAAAGATGATTTACCTCTAGGCTAACTTTACCATGTTGATTACCTCTAAGTTGACATCCTTGGGTTGTCGGCCATCGGGCTGACTTCCTTGGAATAAATACCTTAAAGTTGATCATCTCTAAGGCGACTTCATTAGGGCAACTCCCTCAAGTTGGTCTCCTTATGTTGATTACCTTCAAGCTAACCTCCTCATGTCGATCTCTTAGGATGATCACTTCTAGGCCAAATGAGCTAGTTTGATGGATAAGTCTTCAACTTATATAAAGGTAAAGAGAATCACTTTGAGATTTCCAAAAGTCAGTTATACTAAAAATATCAATATTTTGATACACAAATATATGTGTATAAAGCCTAACCTTAGGGTTAGAATGAAGAGCTTACACTCTTTAAATGTTAGACTTGGACATCCACTAGGTTTCTTTAGAAGAGGTCTTCCATACTAGAACAACTTCTTAAAAATATTATTAGTCTATATACATACAATTATCTAGAATAATCAATTATTTCACTTGATAATCAATTATTTTGATCATATAAGATTCTAGGAATCACTCAAGAATAAAGTAATAAGTTATTATACCATGTAATTGATTATTTGTAAAACTTTAAATTTTAATCGATTATTTCATTACATAATCTATTATTTGCAAATAACTTACCATACTTATAAAAATAGAGCATTTTAATCAATTATTGTAAGTTGGTATTTGATTATTTTACGTGAATTAAATTATACACAATTTTTTAACTTGTTTTCACTCAACTTTCATTTTAAGAGGTATTAAAATAATATGCATGAGATTTTATGTTCAAACTCTAATATTTTCAATGTAACTCTGATCGATAAAAAAAACACTAATTTGCAATCAATTTTAACTTGAGTTATTAATTAATTTTCAGACATACAAAACAATTATCCATACATGCATGCAAATAAAATATAATTAATGAATTGGAATCATCAAAAATATTAATACAATATAATTAATCAATACAACTTGCACTCGTAATTTCTTGAGAGGCTTGCTTATGAAATCATCAAAACCAATGTTTTTAAAATCAGACTAGTCAAGGCACTAATTCAAGATTTAATAGTTTAATAACCGTGATTGAACTAGTATTAATAAAATAATAATAATAATATTTAATAATACATAAAATACTATTACATAAACATAATATCATAATTTAATAAAATTAAAATTAAAATAAAATATCATTTTTTTATTTTTTAAAGTGTATGAAAAGTTTAAATATAATATTTAAGTTTAAATTTTAATAAAATATTACAATATATATTAACAATTTTATATTTAGAGTAGAAAGTTTTCAAATTAATATAATATAAAATATCATGATATAAAAATTATAAATTAATACAAAAGATTAAATTGTATCTTTATAAGAAAATTATTAAAATTAATAAATAACATAATTTATTCACACTTAAATTTTTTTATTAAATATATTTATTTATTTATCATAAAATTATTTTTAAAAAAATAGAAAATAAAAAATATATATATTCTTTAAAAAATAATCGGTTCAACCTAGTTTTTTGGACCGTTTCTTATCTGTTTTGAGTAGATTCATCCAATTTTTGATTAATTCTTTTATACATTGATTTTATGTATCTTCTAAACTGGTAGACTAATCGATTTTTGATTCAATTAGTCAAACTAACTTATCTAGTCTAATTCTGACAACACATATCAAAACACTTCAACTCTTCGATCCCCATCCTTATCCTTTGTTTTAATCAACAAATCATACACAAGACACCAACAACACGTAACAAAAACACATTTGAGGAAAAAAGAATATAAGAAATAATTGAAGAGCATTGATAATAGTCATAAAAAAGTAATTTCTAGTCTAACTTAACGTATATCATTAGTCGATATGAAATCGATAACACATCTCCTTATGTTAAGGATTGAATATCTTGAACATAAAATTTGTAAGACATAATATATACAGATAGTTTGATAACGACTTGATTATAGATAACTTGATAAACCCAATAATAATTGTTAGAATAAATTATGATAACATTAAAAAATGAGTAAAAAATACACTTTATATTAAATTTAATTCAACCTTATAAAATTAATTTATATAATTAAAATTATTGTGTATTTTTATGTACTCTATATTAATCATATAATTTATGGATGTGTGATGTCAACTTAGTAGTATTAGAAAATGAATAGCAGTTGCCACATTGGTACTTTCGCATCTCGCATAGTGCCATTATGCTCAGCCTGAATAGGCGTTGCTTCTTCACGATATCCGACGTCCTTTGTCGCTTGCTGCTTCCTCTGCACCTTCTTGTTTGTTGACTCGCGAGCGTTTTGCTTCGTGGAGGTCTCTAAGGAGACAGTTTTGGATATAAACAAAAATGATACTTAAAGCCTTTACTTCTTAGTTGGTGATCGAGGTTTATATATTCATGGATGTGTTTCAATATCCCAATACATAACAAGATAATATAACCTATTGAATAAATATATTCTTAATTTTGAACAAATATTAAAACAATTCATCTTTTGTATCACAGTTGTAAGTTGAATTCGATGTTAAACACTAACACAGAAGTAAATAACAATCACAACAAAAATACAATACAAGATTAGGTTTTTTTTAAGGAAAAAATTGTTAAAATACAAATAAAAATTCACATAATTAGAATAAGAAATTATATATATATATATATATATATATATATATATATATAAAATATACAAACACTACATTAATAAGAGGCTTTTTTTGATGACTAAAAATAAATTCATAAAAATTTTGACTCAAAATGGATAATTGCATATCAATGATTCAACATGGAAATGTGTGTGAATACCTAATAAACATTAATATATAATACCCCTTGTATTTACACGAATCAGGTCACTCGGATAAGTCGTCTTCCTTGTTCGATTCAGTCAAGGTCAGATGAGATCGGTCACTGGGGTGAATTCCTTCTCTCTGGTCTTCTTGCCCAAGCGTCTTGGATGTACCTGCAAAAAGGACTCCAAAGATCAAGTTAGTTATCTGTCCTATCTCATGTATTGCATATATTATTACCTGTGGTCGTTCTTGAGTAACCGTGTAATTGTTATTTGATTATTTTCTGAGAGTTATCGGCGGTTGAGTCATATTCAATGTCATTGATATGCTGAGGTGTATTACCAATCTTCCTTCTCCGATGTCACACCTCAGCATTTCATATATTTACTTTAGTTTGACTAAATGGTCATCTCGGTCAAAGTTGTCTAATGAACTCGGTTGAGCTCGGCCTTAAGCCAGGTTGGTACACCCCTCTTGATTAAAAAATACATACCTCAACAAACTATAACATAACCCAACAATATTCAAAATAAAAGAAGAGGTAAATCACTTGATTATTTGTAAATGTATAAAATAAAATAAAGAAAAATGTTAGCTATACATTCTCTAATATCGTCTCTTAAATATATACTTTTTAAATGGTTGAAATTTATTAGTCTTACATCCTATTTAATATTTTCTATTAATTTTGTAATTTTCAATAAATTATAACTAATAAAAATGAATGTATTTGAAATAATATGTTAGAAAGTGTGTTGCTAGCACTTTTTAAAAATAAATTATAAATATGTGAAGATGTATTTTTTTTAAAATATATTTGGATTTTATAGTAAAAAAATGAAATAGTATATTTCACTTTAATTTATTAATTCTTTATATTTTATTTTTTTTTAAGATTAATTTTAAAAAAATATTCTGAAACAGTTTCAGGTAATTAAAAAATATTCTAAAACACTTTCAGGTAATTAAAAAAAATTAAACTAAATATACAAAATATAAATTTTATGAATCCGTTCTATCATAAAATATTTACATCATAAACTAATAACTTTATTATATTCTGCACTGTTTTTACATCATAAAATAAGTTAGTGCCTTGATTAATATAAATTGGCGTAATAAATCAAAGGCACAAGACTAGCAGGTAGTGTCTTTGTGATTTGTTGGTTGAACCAGCTCCTTTGCAATCGTGAGTTTTGTCTTCCTAATATATGACCAGCTTCTTAATCTGTATCTGCCATGTTTATTTGGAAGTTATTTTGATATTCATAATATTAAACTCCCCTGATCAAATGTACATATTTTTTGGTAAGTAATCACTAATCAGTTAAAATTTGTTAAATTTGATGTAGTCCGTAGTTTGCATGTTGTGTGTAATTGGTACTTTTATCATTTATATTTTTACAAAAGGGACTTTCATCATTTCTCTGTGTAATTGGCGTATACTTTCTGAAATTATGCAGATTTGAGCAAGCTGAAGAGGACTACAATAATAAGGCTGTATTACATGATAAGGTGAGAAGATGGGCATGTGCAGTGTCAAAATCATGAAAAACTCGTATTGATCTAAAATTTGCCATGTCTGTGACATCATCTTACCTTAAACTACTAGTGGTGTATTTTCACTAATTAAACATGTTGAATTTGGAAATTGGCCTGTGACAGGTATTTGCTTGATTCTACTTGGAAGGCAAAAAATGTGACCACTTGTCAAGCCACCTCGACCATCTCTCAGAGGTTTCTGGAACCATTGAAATTTTAGAATATAATGATTATGACACTATTGATGACTCAGATGAATATGACAACTATGTACCTACGAAATGGACCATGTTTTCCAATGTCTACACAACACTTGTACAGTACAGTTGCTCCTGCATAGACGAGTTTGAGATTAAGCTTGAGGGAATGAAGAAAGTTCTTAAGAGAGACTTGGATTCTCAACAATAGCATCTATTCTACAACAATTCCAATTTCAGAATGGGATGTACCTTCAACCACTGATCACTGCAAGGCTTAGCAAAGAGACTACACAGTGACAAAATAAAAAAGGCAGATGATAAACACACCTCCACTCTCGTATAAACACACCCCCTTTTTAAAAAAAAATATATAAAATGTTTAAATTACCCTTAAAAAAAAATTCTTAAACTTACACCTCTCTTTCCCGTACCCCTATTCCCGCACCCCCGTTCCCCCACCCCCACACCCCCACCCCCT